CTGCACCATGTCTAGATCTCAGTGGGAGGGGGGTGCAGCGGAAGATGTTTGCATGTGATTTTGAATCTGGCCAGGTTGAGATGCTCCGGGGGGGGGGGTGGCAGAGGGGCTGTCCTGGAGTCTGGGCTTGAGTGGGCTTGAGTGGGATCTAGGCAGCTGTTTTCACAGGGGAATGAACCTGTAGGGTCTGGCCATTCCCTGAAGTGACGGACTGATGGAGAAAATTTCCCTTCTGTGGACACCTCAGTCTCAGGCAGGCAACCTTCTCTTGCGTCTGACACTACACCTGCATCTGTTGCAGAATATTTAATCACATTTCGGACCCCCAAGACTGTGAACTGGAAAATCAGCCCGAGCATACCCCTTTAACCCAAGAGCTTTCTGTTTCCTGTAAACAGGTAGTTGTGTGGCTCAGACCTAGCACACACCTTTCATCCAAGAGCTTGCTGTAAACAAGAGCCAAATAAAGTCAACGAGAGGTCAAGAGGCCGAGCAAGCAGCCGGTTGACAGAGAGTGAAAATACTTAAACCCAGGAGAGAGAAAGAGCTTCTTTGGAGTTGAAGGACATTTAAGACAGTTACGGAGAGGAAGAAGCTTTTCTCCTTCTGGGACTTCAGTAGAGTAGGAAGGTCAGCTGGGTGCTTCCTCTGCCTCTCTGAACTAGCAGGCCTCCGCCCCAGCATCTGGCTCCTGAGTCTTCATTGGCAAAACTGAATGGCAGGAATTTTTGGTTTTAAAACAACATATGTCCTTAGCCCGACAGTCCAAATTGCCCTTGTCCCTGACCTTTAGGATAATGTCTGACAACAAAGGACCTATTTATTTCCCCACTAACATAGTTTCTGGGTATCCCCTTTCTCTCCGCTCTTACCCCAGGTACCTCCAATGGAATAGAGCCTTTTCCTGTCCAGGCCCTGTTGGGACTGACCAGGGTCCCAGAATTTATTCTCCTCACTGTTTCTCTTCGGCAAAGCAGACTTAACCAGTTCTTTTCCATTAGGTTTGCATAGTATCTCTGGGGGTTCAAAATAGCCTATTACAAACGGAATTACCACAGGGACTGGTCCCTCTGGGGAAAGACTCAAGGCTATGCTGGCTGGCAGCTGATGTGGGAACTACCCCTGTCCTGAGGCTCCTTGTTAGGACTCTATTGGTGAGATGAGTCCCTCAGGGTGCCACCCAGCCTCTGGAGGCTGCTTATCCTTCTCATGGTGTAGTGCCGCCCTCTCCCCCCACCATGACATTTGTCCCTGTACCATCTGGGCATACTCTCTGCCCATTTGTCCTGGCTGTCTCGTATTATCTAGGGCCCAGACAGACTACACACAATCCTTTCTTGCTGTCGACTAGCCAAGTCATTTGCCATACTGTTTGTCCCCGTTAGGGTCTCTGGCATTTTTGGAGTGTGTGCACATAGGCGAGTGTGTGTGTGTATGTGTGGTGTAGGCAACAGATAACCTTGAATGTTAGTCCTTGGGGGTTGTCCTTTTTTTTTTTTTTTGGTGGGGGCCAGGGCAGGGTATTTTACTGAAATGTAGGCAAGGCTGACTGGCCAATAAGCACCATGGATTGGCCTTTCCCACCTCTCCAGCACTGGGATCACGAACCCACACCACGATGCCCAGCTTTTCACACCAACGCTGGGAACCGAACCCTGATCCTCACGCTTGAGCCGCAAGCACCCTACCAACTGAGCCATCTTCCCACGCCCTTTTGCTTCCCCTTTTGTAAAGCAGAATCAACGGTCACAGCTTCTTAGGAGTGCGCTGCCGAGCATAGCTGTTGAAGCCCGCCAGCATCATTGTAACCATGGAGGATGCCCTGCATCAGTGATCGTACAAGCCACTGAGGAAGGTGGTGATCCCCGATGGCGGTGTGTCTTGGGAGGGAGGCTAGATAGTACCAGCAGAGGGTGGGCGAGCCCCGTCAGCCGTTCCTGTCACCAGCTTCTCACTTAATTTCCTTTGGGAAGCCTATTACCAGTTTCCCTGCTCAAGCTGGCTATCAGTATTCACCCTGTAGGCCTCTCCTGAGCCTCTTAGGTCAGCCTGTGCCCTTAGTGGGAAGGAGATGGGTCAGACGGTACCTTGCGAATGAATCAGTGGAACCTGCTATATTTTATGGACTCGAATTAGTGGAATTTGCCTACGCTGCTCTGGGAGTGGGCAAGTGTATAGAGGTGAGTGAGAGAGGGATTAAACCATGTAGACAGGCTGAGATGGATTTAAGTCTGATCCTGAGGGACGGACATATTGAGGAGTGTGAGGGTGGAGAGCAAGAGGGAAGGGAGGAAGGACTGTCACAGGTGAGCTACACAGGCAGCGAACTCAGCATGGTACCCAAAACGGGCGTCCGGGGAGGAGATGATGGTTGATCTCGATTGCTAACTTGACAGAATCCAGGATCTCCTGGGAGATAAGGATCTGAGCATGCTCACTAAGGGGCTGTACGGTCTGGGCATGCTCATTGAGGGTCGGTATGGTCTGAGCATGCTCCCTAAGGGTCTGTATGGGTTAGCCTACCCACTGGACAAGCCCTGAGAAAGATTTAGGTAAATTGGAGAGGGACAACACACCTTGACTCTGAGCAGCACCATGTCGCACACTGGGTTCTGAACAGGAGCGAGCGAGCACTGACATCCCAGACCACGAATGCGATGGCGATCAGCTGCTCTTACCTCTGTGGCTTCCTCGGCATGATGGCCTGCGACATCAGACTGTGAGCCAAAACAAAACCCTTCCTTCCTTAAACTGCCTTTATTGGGTATTTTCACTGCAGCGACCGGACAAGGAACTAATGCAGGGGCTGGAAGGCATCATGAGAAAAGATGTCCATGGGGCTCTGGGGTCAGGCCTCCTCTCCATCCCTGCACACACCAAGGGAGGCAGAATCTTTCTATTTTCCCGTCAGTGGTGTATTTTTAGGTTAAAGATGCTCACAGTTGGAATTAAAAGCACAGAGTTAGTCTCAGTGACTTACAGCTGAACATTTTTATCGCCTTCAACAAAAGCCCCGCCCCCTCCCTTGCGTTCTTGCCATTGGTGACTTGGGAACACGTGAGAGGGATGCCCACATGGGTGGGAGGGTAGAACCTGGACCAGAGACCCAGGTCTGTGTGTCTGTATTTGAGCACCTTTGTGGGGCTGTCTGCTGCCCCACAGGGCTGTCTGGAGTTCTCCTTGGAGAGAAAGAGTGGTTTCAGGGTCACTCTCTGCTCTCTGTGGGTATCCTGCCTCATTCTGGTGCAGTGCAAGGGTGGGATCCAGTCACCCTGCTCCTGGGTTCCTCACAAAGAACAGTGCGTTTCCCTGACTTGAGAGAATCCCTTCACCACTTGATTCCTGGCCTTGATCTTAGACTCCTTCCTGAATTTCCGGGACTGTAAGGTGGTCGCCTTGGGTCATTGGCAGAGACACGTTTTATTTTTGTAATTGTACGGCGTCTGGCTGCACCTGAAGGAGTCCCTTGTCCAGTTATCTGTGGGGTAAAGGAGTCCCAATAAGATTACAAGCTGGGCCAGTGCTGGGTGGGGCCTTGGGTGCAGCAGAAGGGGTCAGTGACGTCATCACCTGCCACTTTCTATCACTGGAGACCACAGGGGCCTGGCAGATCTCTCTTCTCTTTTGTAGCTTTTAAGTTTATCCTTGCTTGACGTTCAACCCCAAATGACTTTACCTGTGCATGCATGTAGACATGAAGGGAGGGGGAGGGGCCTCACGGTGGAAGGCGTCTCTAGCTGCTTCTCTAGACGGCACCGAGCTCAGCCACACACGAGCCACATACAGCACACGGGGACAGAGTTTGGCTCCGGTTCAGGGTATTTTATTTCTTAAAGTAGACAACCTTCGAGTTTTATATGGGTCACCGGCTCTTCTCCCTCTCTGTACATCTTTAGCTCCTGGGCTGCGGTTCTGTACATAGACCTTGGACACACACGGGTACCAAATACAGGGTTGAGAGAGATTTGGCAAGGGATTCAGTGGTGCCATCCCCTTGGTACCAGGGCTTTGTGTTTACACACAGCCGAGGCTCTTTCAGGACCAGTGTCTGTGGGCCCTGGGGCTAGAAGGCCCGGAGTGCACAGTCCCAGCCAGGCCTCCCTCCTTCAGGCCGCATATCAAGCTGTGCCTTCACTGGAGTCTGAGCAGCCCCCTGCCTATGTCAGGCGTGGAGTGTGTAGGGACCGGGGAGTGCCATCTCTTGCCTACCCCGCTTCCTTCATTTGGCAAAGCCATAGATAATTTACACTTTAAATACCAAGACATTTAGCTATTGTTCATTCGCTCCTAGGTAAAGGACCTTCTTTTAAATACATCACATTTATTCTCTTAAATAAAAACAAAGCAGAAAAACGGCACCAATGACAAGAGAACATTGCAGAGGCTTATGTACACATGTCCCATGAGGCTGTCGTGGGACCTTTGCCCCAGAATTCTTTGGAGCCGAGGAACAGAATCGTCCAGGTGACAACTTCTATACTCAGCAAGCCAGACACAGAAGGGACACCTGAAATGAAATGTGTTTTGAAAATCCGCATTTAAAAAAAGAATATCTAATCACATCTGAAATTGTCTGTAGTTTTTTTTTCCCCCTCCGTGAGACATAATATTTGGCCAAAAATAAAAATTAAAAAAAAAAAAAGAAGGATGCCAGAGAAGAAAAACCAGGTTTCCATTTATAAAACATCAGACCAGTAGAAGAAAAGCTAGAAACCCAGCTGGCCTAGTTTGAAATAAACGGTCACACTCATTATCCTGTGTTAATTTTTGCTGCATACTTTTTAGCTGTTTTTGTAAAAGCCACAAGTAATTGGAGGTCTGGTTAGAGCAGTCAACTTCTTTCCGCCGGTCCTGGGTACAGGACGAATGTGACACAGAGTGTCTGAGTTGGGTGTGGCTAGCAGGGAAGGTACACAGTCCCTGCTCCGGGCCTCCATCCTAGTCAGCGGTAGTCCCCAGTCCAGAGCTCGGTTGGTGAGCTGGCCTTCACCCAGGCAATGGGCACAGCTGGCGGGACCTGGCCCCAGCCCTGTAGCTTCTCCCCAGCAGTCTAAGGTGGGCCCTCCCTCCCGTGCAGAGTGGGGCCAACTCAGGAAGGCAGAGTGAAGGGGATAGGGGAGGGGCAAGACGGCCTTGGAATGAACTTGTGACAGCAGCTTTTTAAAACTTGAGGAAACCTTGACGCTCTGGAGAACGTTGCCGTCTCCAGATGTGCGTGCATGTGTGCCCTGTGTGTGTGTGTGTCTGTGTGTCTACCTACCTAGCAATCTATCCAAATATATTTATGTTTGCAGAGACGTGGGGCCTAGGAGGCAGAGGCCGGGGGGTGGGGTGGGGACACACTCTTCAAGCCCCCCTGTTTTCTGCCCCTGGGTTGGGCCTCTCTAGCATGAGGTGTGGGGTGATGACACCCCGTGGGTTTCACCACAGGCAAGCAGGCTGTGCCCAGCTCCTCAGCAAAGGCCGATGTACTTGAGATTGTTCTGTATAATGACATCAGTCACTGCGTCAAAAACAAACTGGATGTTACTGGTATCGGTGGCACAGGTGAAGTGGGAGTAGATCTCCTTGGTCTCCTTGTTACGGTTTAGGTCCTCGAACTGACGCTGGATGTAGACCGCCGCCTCCTCGTACGTGTTCTGGCCCTTGTACTCCGGGAAGCAGACGTTGAGCGGGATGCGCCGGATTTTCTCCGCCAGGAGGTCCTTCTTGTTCAGGAAGAGGATAAGCGAGGTGTTGATGAACCAGTTGTTGTTGCAGATGGAGTCAAAGAGGCGCAGGCTCTCCGCCATTCGACTCTGCGGTTGTGAGGAGGGAAGCGTTGCTGTTAGTCTCAGAGTGAGAGAGGGGAGAGAAAGGGAAGAGAGGGGGGAGGGGGAGGGAGAATGAATATGGATATTTAGGCCTACAGCCCTACCAGGAGGGGCACTCATTTTCGAGACTACCCACCTAGTGCTAGCCCCTGAGATAGCATCCTGCTCCTGACAGGAATCCCCTCTCACTCAGGTCAAATAAGCATCTCCCCATCTCCCCCCCAGGACCAGCTAATAGTCACCCTGACTACCTAAGGCTTTCCTGCCTCTTTTGGACCCTTCCTCTGGGCAATGATACTCAATGGCCTCGATACGTGACATGAGGGCTGAGGCAGTGCCCAGGCTAGCTGGCTTGCACCCTGGGGATGCAGGACCCTCCATGCTTACACCGATGTATTTCAAACATCGCTAGCTCCTGGCCCTCTACACACACACACACACACACACACACACACAGAAGCTCAAGTCTTCCCTGGGAACTATTTCTTCAACTATTTCTCACGGTTTCACACGGTCCCTCTGAAACCTTAGTTCTGCCACTCGACATGGCCCATGCCTCCATAAGCTGGAACAGCTGCTTCTCACTGCACCGTGTCCCTTTCCCCTCTCAGTGGCTTCAAGGAATCACACTCAGTGGCCACGGTGGCTGAGTAAGCAGGCGGGCTTGCACATAGCATGAGGGTGACATCCTAGGACAGAGTTGTGACCAAATGACAAGAGTGTGGCCCCTGGTCCCTTCCCTCTCTTCTTTTTTTTTGAGGACACATAATTTGTATAGTGACTCTGGGTCTTAAGGAGCACGCCTGCCTCCCAGGACATGGACACATCTTATTTCTGAAACAAGTATAGCTGTCCACACCTGGAATCACTGCTGGCGGAGGCTGCCCGGCACTCTGAGATACAGCAAACAAGCCAAGTTCCTGGATATGCGGGAGACAGGTTTTTATATCCTCACCAACCGAGATACTGGACAGTGAGTGACTCCGGCACTGACAAGGTGGGCAGAGGTGTCAGCAGTGTCACCAATGAACACAGTGACAGTGATGACAGTTGCGAGCAGATGGTTCTGCCTGTGCAAACTTCACGCCTTCCCATCTCCTTCTGGGGAGACTGAGGCTTGGAGAGGTAGGGAATGTGCCCCAGGTCCCTCATAGGAGCTGTGGGCTTGCAGTCCTGTGCAAAGGACTGGCCTGGAGGCCGGGTTCCAGGGTGTCTCTCGGAAACCAGACTCCGTGTTCTTTGAGGCACGGGCTTTGGCAATGCCTCAGCTAGGGGAGGAAGCAGATGTGAGGAGAGGGGAGGGCGGGCAGAGGTACCTGTCATTATCATGAGACCCAGCTACCTGGGAGACTGATTTGCAAATCCAGTGTTTAGAGTTGATACAAGCAATACAGAATGGCAAAACCTCTGAACAGCAAGACCTTGGCGTGGTCTAAATTGGCCTTTCTGCTGAGAAACAGGAAGCAGGGCCCCGAGCTCAGCGGTCCACGATGAGACCCGGCGCTTTCCTTTTGCAGTTGAGCCCCAGACCTGGATGTGATGTTCCTAGGGTGAGATCAGTGGGATGGGAGGGGGGTGGTCTAGGAATGTTTCATTCTACAGGGAGAATAATTAGCTCTAATGGATTCCTGGAAACTGCCGGTGTAAAGATGACAGTAGGAACGGAGCTGTCACTTCTCATAGAAATGATGTCATAATTGGGGCTTTTGCTTCTGACTCCAAATTCTGTATCAGATATGGCTATTAGCACATATTCCTCGATTCATTGAGCAGGCTTGCGGGGCATGTCCTGAGTGCATGGGCCATGCCTCTCACGCTTGATGGAGGTCTCGGAGCGGCGAGCCTTGGCAGGGATCCTGGGATCTGTCTAGGGGTAGATGAGAGGGCTTCCCCTGGTCCGTAAGGAGGGTGGAGGTAGGGAAGCACAGAGTAGGGGTGCTGGTTCCCTTAGCTCTGATGGGTCACTTGTGTTGATAGCAGAGGGGGTTCTTGGGCCCAGATCAGCCCAGCTTAGAGGGAGGGTATGGCTGTCTAAAGGTACTGTTAGTAGTGCAGTTGCTGGCCAAGAGTCAGTCAGTCCTCTTAGGACAATGCTTAGGGGGGGAGCTCAGTTGCTGGAGACCTTTAAGGGTAGCAGTAGGTAGGGCCAAAGGACCACAGGTGGTAACTGTCGTCCCTGAGACTGCCTCAGCTTCTTCCCGTTTGTCTTAAGCTGTCTGTGTGCACCATGGCTTCCTTTCCACACCAGCTGCCTGGACCACTTCCCCGCTGGTGCCTCTCACACTCTGGGGACCCTGCTTGACTAAGTGTTGTGTTGTTGGTGACTCAAGCGATCAGGGAAGCCAGGCCCTAGCTCACAGGATAGCAGACAGCACAAGTGGTAGGACCAGGTATGTGGGAAGCACTGAACTTTCCTTTATCCCAGGCTCATCCTCACAGCCCAGGCTCTGCCGTAGCTTCAAGTTCAGGTTTCCTGATGACCTCCTCTAGTTTTTGAGGACCCCAGAGCTATACTGGTCATCCTGGGAGGTGATGTGCCTCAAATAACATCTGTCCCCATGGTCCCATCCCCTGGGACCTGCCCAGTAGGATTCAGAGAAGCCTGCTGTGGCATTGGCTGTGCATTTGGCTTGTAGGCTCTTGGAGACTTGGGGCTTCGGAGTGAAGGCAGTCCCAGAGCTAGTCACTTCCTTCTGTTCTCTAGAAGGATTCCTGATGCTGGGCGTGTTAGCTCTGTGTGAGTATCGAATCCCGGTAAAGTGGATATGCACACCTGCCCTGGGAAGCCAATCAAGAGGGTCAGTTAGAAGGCACAGCATGGCCAGAGTAGCTCCAGCACACGGCCTCTCAATGTGAGGGCCCAGTAAGAGAGCCAGGTACTGTTTCCTCCCTGAATCTGTCTGGCGACAGAGGCTCTGGGACCGTCTGCGACTCTGTGGCAGAGGTGGGACAAAGAACCACAGGCAATCACGATCAGGACCTTGCCCCAATGAGGCCGATGAGAGGATCCGGTGGCCGGGGGGGGGGGGGGGGGTCTTGCCCTTGGCTCCAAAAGAGTGACATCAGAGGTGATGGTAGGAACCCCGCCTTGTCTCGTGACTTGGTGCCTATCTTCAGCCTCCTGTGCCCACCGATGGGTCCAGTGCCCTCGGGCCAGATTCACAGTGGGTCTTGTAGCCTCATGTGCACAGGAGCACCCTGCCACCTTGAATCGCCACCACCAGAGGAGCCATGCCACTCTAGGGTGTAACTCTAGAAGCCATGATATACAGGGGTGAGATCGGGAGGGTGGAAGTCGGCCTTCTGCCTGGCCTCCGAGCTGAGCCTCTACAGCACGCCTGGTCCATTCGTGCTCTGCTTCTCCTGTCGGGCATCACCTCAGGCCCCTTCTTCCAAGAGGCTGAAGCCTACCTCCCTAAACCATATCTGGCTGTGCCCCCAGTCAGTCTGTGGGGCGTCTCCCCTACCTGTTCTCTGTTTTCATCTGCTTAGTTTCCAGGGTCAGAGCTGCTCCTAGAGGGGGTATGGTGGGCACTTTTACTGCACCCCTAGTCTGGTAGCCACTGCTTTACTGGCTCACCATGGCATGTCCTCTTCTGATCCTGCCATCTGAGGAGCTGTAAGCAAATGAGCCATAGCCCACTTGCCTGGGTAGCAGTGGGGTATGGGGAGGCATCCTCTTCACACATGAACCAAGCCCTAGGGTAGTGCCGACCTGTCAGAGCTTGGTAAAGAACCCTAATATTCTCTTCTGGCAGGACATCCCCCATACCTTTACCTCTCCAGCCGCCAACGGTTACCACCATGGTGGAAATGCTGTTGTGGTCAGCCGTTGCTGGGAGGCCAGCCAGGGATTAACCACTCAGCTCACTGAAGGGTCCTCTCAACTATGGAAATAGTATCTTCTAGGAACCTGGGGTTCATCCGAACATTCATTTATATAAATAATGCAGAGCAGATGATTACGACAGAAGCCTGGGCAATGTGGGGATTCTGCTGCCTGCCGGTGGGAAACAGTGATTGCTAACAAGTCATGTCAGCCATGGTGAGGCTAGGTAACAGCCCCCAGGGTGGCTTCCAGCCTATTCTTAGACATTCTTTTAATGTTTAGATGGCTCCATATATATTCAATGCCACGTAAGTCCCCTGCCCCAGGTGCTTGTCTGCACTTGGATTTCTTACATCAGAGGGTAAGAGGGGCTTGCGGCATACTTCCAAGGAGCTTCGAATCTGGGGAGTATTCATCCCCCCAAAAGCTTCCAGGTACCAGCACCCATCATGGATCCTGGAATGATTGATTCTCTGAGGGGACTGGCAGTCAGGGTGAGCTGGTGTTGGGTCAGCCATTTAGTTCCTTTTCTGCACACCTGGTGACACATGGTGGCAGGTGTCCCTAGTTACATATACAAGGCCTGGGCCCATTTTAAAAATTCCTCTTCTGTGGTCTCTCTGTATCCTGACTAAGCTTCTGAGGGTAATATCTGGACCTTCGTGATGGGAATCTGGTCTCCCACCTCCAAGTTCTAAATGTTTCCATAATGGACTTAGATTCCACTGTCCCACACAGGCCAGCCCCACCACTCAGGACACCACCCTGTCCCTTGCTTGTCCCTCGGAACAAGAGGCTGATGTAACTGGTGCCTCATGCCCTTCATCTTGTTAGCAGGTTGAGGCCCCTCCCAAAGATGAGATTTTTCTTTTCAACCATTCAGTTGTGTGTGCGCACATAACCTGGAGGTCATGTGAGACCCAAGCCCTTTGCCTACATCAGAGGCCTTGGAACTCTACCTGGCATGTGTCCAGCTGTGCCTGGACAGACACCTTACCACACAGTGCCCCGTGGTGGGCTTGCAGTGACCCACTCCTCCCTTCCGTAAGGAAGAATAAACAGCCTTGCTGTCAAAGCCATGGAGTTCTCAGGATGGACAGCTATGGCTCACGTCAAGGACCTGGGATTCAGCGTTCCTCTTAGAACTGCAAAGATG